GCTTATACTATTAAATAAGGTTTATATTATAGTATTTAAATATTACCTTATAAAAGTTAGTAAATTTATTAAGTAAATTATATCTAGTAATAACTATATTACTTTTATAATACTTAGTAAGAGCCTTTTATAATTAGGTAACTCTATTTTACTAGTTTTTAAACTCCTAAAATTAAGTTTTAATAAGATTAAAGTTATTATATTAATTTTAATTCTAGCCTCTAGAGATAGTATATATATTAAGAATAGTATAAAAATTGTATTTAGTATAAATATTAATATATTAATCTAGAAATTAAAAGCTCTTAATATTAATAATATTAGGGTTTATATTATTAATAAAGTAGTAGTTAAATAAAATTTAAATACAGTTAAGACCTAGAGATATAAAGTAGGCAGTATTAGCTTTAGTAAAGAAGTAGTAAATAAAATAGTTAAATAAGAAGGTAGCTTTCTCTTTACTTAATACTTCAGCAAGCTAGACTTAGTACTTATATTTATAGCCAGTATATCTAGTAATAAAGTTTTCTATATTTAGCATACTGCCCAGGCCGGCTCCTTTAAGAATAACTATCTCCCTGTAGGTGTTTATAATATAAGAGCTATTAACCTACAGCATAGTATAAGTTTGTGAGCTGGATATATCTACTATATTATCGGATTGAAGTTAAGGTATAGAGAATGAAGGATACACTCAAGAATGTTGTTTGAGATAGCCGGGAGGTGTTTTATACTGGGGATTGAACTGGAAGCAGTAGGTTTATATCATTTCTCAGCTTGTTGAGGCAAATGGGAAATAGCGTGTCAGGTTGGAGCGATACTCCCTGACAGTCCCTCCATCACGAGTCGTGACTGTGAAGCGGGGATCGGGCCAGTGGGCCAGGTGAGCCGAAGAGAGGAGCCTTGACAAGGGTAATATGGACCGATAATCCGCGATGAATCTAGACGATTTCTTCCCCAGTCACACATCAGACTGGGCCCCCTCTCCTCTAAGGTCAGGGTATCGATCTATGAGAGGTTTCGTAATACAGGACTACAAATCCGACATAAAACAGAGAGGTGTCATTTGTACATTATCCTATCTGCATCTCCTAATTCTTATTCGTAGTAGTAGTAGTACCAGCGTTCTGCTCTTCGACCTCCTTATCGATAATAAAGATACGGTCGACCTTTGCAAAATCGTCTTCTACGCTCCGAGCTTTAAGGTCCAACCCTCTGAAAACGTCGGTGCTGACGAGCAGGTTCGCGATGAAGAGAGTCTCCTCATCACCGACAGTCTCAGAGCGGACATGGTGGCAGCCCGGAGCCTCGTACCAGCTCTCCCCCGGCCCGTACACCTTGGCACCACCGTCGTGCGTGTGTGTCTCGCCAGTTGCTGAATCCACGTGAGTATGCACCATCTGGTTCAGAATGTGACCCCGTATCACTGTTGCAACCACGGCGGCACCGGCGTGAGTGTGAGGCGGTGTAGCTGAGTGCCACGTCAGTATTGACTTTTACCAAAGACTTATAGTTAGGCTCTGAATTCAAGCAATGCGCGTCCCAATGAGCGTAGAAGGTATATAAAAAGAGGGAACAGCTACTCACCAGCATTTGGAGGAGATGTTACAAGCAATCCAAACCATGTGTTATTAGGCAAGTTGGGCGGCTCGTGTATGTGGGATACAGCCACGCTAACCGTAGGTCGTCTGCATAAGGTATCAAAAGGTCAGCTTAGAAGTTTTCTGTCCGCCCAGGCTGTGCGGTATCCTTTATAGTTCCTTGAACACAAAGAGATAACACTCACCCGTCAATCGTCCACTGGCCGTCCTTCTTAACCACGTTCTGATCCTGCCACCGAAGATTCAAGTCGACGTTGGGGAAGGCCATAATGTTGGTTTCTGCCTGTAGCGGATGAGTCCTATGGTCTTGTGTGGGATATTTTGGTCCTTGTACGGACAGAATTGTTGCTTTTATACCTCATCTAAACAAAGTTTGCTTTACTAATTGTCGGACTTGTTATTGGGTCCGCGTAACTTTCTGTGTATTCGCAAGGCGGGGGTGTGAAGATCCCCGCATTTATATGCATGAATAGTAAGCACTACGAGAGAACAGTTTTCGTAACACAGTGTCCGCATACCAAGGGCGGCTTTACGGGAATGCATTTAGCCATGGAAAATACCATACGCCTTGGCAGGCTATATTTGTGTCATTACTATTAGAGCACCGGCTGAAATCTCAGGAAGGATACGGTTTAGAGTAGAGGTTGGGGAATAAGACAAGGATGGGCCGGGATCCCGGTTGTGTGGGCTCGAGTCCCGCGGAAGTCCGCAATTCAAAGGGTAACACGATAGCTGCATTGCTGCCCTAAAATGCTGATTACCCTATTTTGAGTCATCCTTCAACTAAGGCTGCTCGAGTTTTAATCTGTGATTGACTGGGCACATGGGATGACTTAATGATGACGCGGCAAGGTGGGCTAGCAAATGTTACAACGCCCGCTCCGAAACCTAAAACTGATACGACCAACTTGCTATATCAGGAAAACAGTGCTTGTAACACTGTATGTCCATGTATGCACGTTGCTTTAGCAAACAAATCTTATTGCAGTCAAGCGTTAGCAGAGACGGTTGGTGCCTAATGTCTAGTCCAGAATGAAGGGACGTGACTTCAAGCAAAAATACCGGTGCCCATTTATCAGCCGCCGCATTTTGCCAGTGCAGTGGACAGTGAAATCCACGAGTGAACACACTACATGGATTGAGTGGAGTGGCTTTCAACCTTGGTGAGAAATGAGTAGCCTGTACGGAGGACTATTTCAAAAGTTTTGGCCCAAGAAAAAGTAACGTTATCAACGTTATCAAGGCAACCATAAAATCCCAGGATAAGTACAATAAGGACTTCCTTTTGCATGTTAGCCCTGAAGGCCCCTAGGCTACAGCACACCTATCCTATAACCACTGACCCCTGACCTACGACACCTATCGCCCCTGAAGCTATAGACGGCGTAGCGGATATCTGAAGAATACTGGCTCACTCTCCAGGTACCTAGAGGTACCTACAAGGATGGAGGGATGTGGCGTCTTTAGCGCAGGACCGAACTTTTGAAATGGACGTCTGGAGGGAGCTGTGAGATCGTCCCGGGGTTCATCTTACTAATACTCCTGCATTTCCTGGTCATGTCTGATATGTTAGCGCCAGGGCATTAATTACCTATTTAGGTAAAAGGATGAAGCCATAATTGAGTAATGCCCAAAAGCTGTCGAATTATCCCCAAAATCACGAAACTCCATACGAACCCCCTCCACTTACGCCATTGAAGCTTCTCGGTTCAAGCTTCGCTACCTTCTCGTATAATAACATATGTCTTGTCGCGGGGCTAAAAGCTCACCCAACCTAGTCATGATCGTCTCACTTGCATCGCTCGCAATTAAAGATCGTTATCTTCAACAATGCACAGACACGCCCACGTTAGCGCTAGGCCATCATCCAGGGTCACAGCGGAGGCATGGTCCAGCGAGCAATCTTCAAATACTCCTCGTCATCAGCTATCGCCCACCTGATCCAAACCCTCAGGTCCATTTCCTCTAACGCCTTCGCCTTCGCAATGGCGCCTATACTGCTCGATCACCTCCCCAGCCTGACGAGCCCTCTCGGTATCGCCCTGATCGTCTCGGCTTGCTTCGCCCTCTTCTACCTCATCGAGAGCTTCATCCTCACCGTTCCGTATCCTCCCAGCGTCCCTCTCGTCGGAGAGCCCGAGGGTGCGCTTCGCTTCAGTCTGCGCACCAGGGTTGCCTACTACACCAACTGCGAGGCCCTGCTCCGCGAGGCCTACACCAAGGTTTGTTCCCGCCTCCCAACTAATCAACACCTTTGGACCTCAGACTGAGCATTGTGAACTAGTATGTCAAGAAAGGCAAGCTTGTCGTTGTCCCCGGCTTCGGCTTCCGGAAAGAGGTTATTATGCCTCAGAGCGCTATGAAATGGGTCCTTTCCCAACCAGATGATGTGTTAAGCGTCGACGCAGCATTTGCCGACATCGACCAGGTCCGATGGAGTCTCGGCCACGATAAGATTGTTACAGATGCATATCAGGCTATGGTCGTTAAAACTGATATAAACTGTGTCCTGGAGAATATCTGTGCTGCTATGAATAATGAGCTGGGTGTTGTCTTTGACGAGCAGTTTGGTACTGATACTGAGAATTGGAAGAAGATTGATCTTCTGCCCACGGTTAAGATTATTGTTGCCCAGGCAGCTAGTTGCTTCACTGTCGGACTTCCGCTCTGTAAGTCCTGATAACTCCTTTAACAATAAATAAACTAACACTACAAAAGGCCGCGACAAGGACTATCTCCGCACTGCCCTCGACATCAACCAGCGCCTTGTTATTAACGCTGCCGCCACCGGAGGAGCCCCTCGCCTTCTCCAACCGCTTATTGGCACGCTGCTCAACATCCCAACACGCAGACTTCTGGCCAAGATGAACAAGTGGTTCCTTCCGCTATGGAAGCAGCGCTTAGAGACCCTCGCCTTCGACCGCAATGACCCGGACCACAAGGAGCCCCAGGATCAGGTCCAGATGATCATCCGCTTTGCCCAGCGCGAGCGCCAGCACGAGCTCCACGACTACAATATCATGCTCCGTCGCCTCGCCGCCAGCAACTTCGGCTCCATGCATCTGACACAGATCCAGGTTACTAACCTGATCCTCAACGTCCTCGGCTCCGACGCCGAGTTCAACACCATCGCCGTCCTGCGCGACGAGATCGACCGCATCCTCGGCCAGGATGAGTCTGCTGAGTGGACCAAGGCCAAGGTAAGCCAGATGACCAGAGCCGATAGCGTCGGCCGTGAGACCCTGCGTCTGCACTCCCTTGGCGTCCGCGCGATCTTCCGCAAGGTCATGACGTCGAACTTCAAGACCCCTGACGGCTACCACCTCCCCAAGGGCACCCTGCTCTCGTTCCTCAGCCAGCCTGCGCATGTCGACGCCGAGACGGTAGACGAGCCGCTGAAGTTTGACCCCTTCCGGTTCTCGCGCCTGCGCGAGATCGCAGCCAGCCGCGACGAGAGGGCCCCGCCCGTGACCCTTGTGTCGACGTCGCCCGAGTTTCTGCCCTTTGGCCACGGCAAGCACGCGTGCCCGGGTCGCTTCCTCATCGACTTTGAGTTCAAGATGATTCTGGCATATGTGCTACGTAACTATGATATTGCGTTTCCTAACGAGTATAATGGGCGGCGACCGCAGAATGTTTGGCTCGCGGAGGCGGTTTTTCCCCCAGAGGGTGTTAAGATTTTGGTGAAGAGGAGGGCGAGGAAAGGTAACATGTAGACATACTGGCGGTGCGATAATGGATCTACGAACGTATACTGGATAGATAGAGCTCGTGTTCAATGACTAACTAGACTGTACGTACTTCTGCTATGCGCCATACTGCTTATATAATGCTTCTCAGAGGCACAACCGCCTTGACCTTGTTAATTTGATACTTCCCCAACTCTGACAATGCAAACCCTCTCAAATCTATGATGGAACTCCCACGGTCAATTATCGTAAATCATCGCTCACTCATAAAGTTCATGACCAGACATCCTTTTCATTTATCACTCACCAAAAACTCTCCTCCTCTTCTATACGAGCATTAAGACCCGACCACACCACAAGAAGTCAGCGAGAAAGCGGGTGTGACAGTGGGCCGCTATCCAGGCCTCGCCGTCCTGGTTGACACCAAGCACGGCTGTGAAATGCAGCAGCCGGTTGTGGTTCTGCATGCGGGCAAGCCTCTACTTGATCGAACTGATGCAGGAGCTAAAGACAGCACGGTGGAGCGCTTCTCGGTCCGGGTTACCGTCTTCTTCTCCTCCTTCCTCCTCTACCACCTCTTACTCCTTGCCATTCTTCTCAATAGCGGCAGCGACGACGTCAAGTCGCCGGGAAAGCTCCGCTAAAGCGTCTCCCTGCGTGTCCGAGAAGCGAATGCTGTGCTTGGCCTTGGCTCCGTGGCGGCCGAGCTCCCAGGCTCGGACGCCATAACGCAGATAAGGCTACATGTACGAACTATACCGGTCCAGCGTCGCTGTCTCCTGCTTCCGTCCAAACGGGGTCGTTACCATTTGGTTGGATCTGTGGTGCCGAGCCACTCTAGCGTCTCATCTGGCACCTTCCCCGGATGCATCATACACCGAATGAGCTTCCGGTGAAAGCTCCTGGTTAGCTGGCGGAGTCGTCGGTTGGCCTGGCGGACTTCGTGTTTCCACATACGCTCCTCAACCGCCTTTGGTGCCGGCGACAGCCCGATTTGATACAGCATCGGCTGGCCTTTGCCCTGTAGGTGGGCAGCCCTCTTCATGAACTTGACCCACATCGACTCACTGTTTACTCCACCGAGCTTTTCGACAGGCCTGCGTCGGTCCTAGTCTGCCTCCACGAGGTGTTTTCGAAAAACCTTTCACAACGGCGAGGACGAATTTTTGAAACAACAGCTCCAAACAGCACTTATACGCGACTCCGAGGGGACCAATCGGATAGTCTGAAGTCTATCACGTTGCCCGGCGCGATTCCGACGAATATGGCGACCTCGTGGCCCAAGGAGTGGCATGGCCCGCCTAATTCCGCGAGCATGCCTCATTCGCGAACGTTAGGGACCTCGTATTGAAGCCTTAGGTACGCTCGAATGCGACAAAACAAGGGTGACTTGATTGAGTACTTCGGATGGCCGCGACCCTTGCTTTTAATGCGTGCCAGCACTCTCCGAGGGGTCTATCTAACCAAGATGTATATACTAAATTAGACATAGTTGACCAGGGGTCGAAAACGCACACTCCGGCCGTCTGGACAAGGGCTGGAGGTCGGGTACCTCCGCTTGTATCTTCGGTCCTGACAATTATGCTTTGACACTTCTACTTCGAGGCAGCAAGGGTAAGAGGGCTGGCTAAGCTAAGCCGGGAGGAGCAGGCGGCCCACGAAGCTGGCTCCAAAGCTAAATTTCAACTTGTTAATGCTTAAGCTATTTTCCAAAGTAGGCAATTCTTATACATGTTCTACAGACCTAACAGCAAGCCTAGTAAGGCTTGGCATGCATACGACAAATTGAATTCCTCAAGGTCGGTTTGGGCCCGCTTCCAGTTACAGGGGCAGTGCTAGCAGTTGTCCCTGGAGATTTGATTATTCCATCCAATTAACAGCCTTCCTCACCTGGGTCGCAAACAATGAAATGGCCGGCGACCGGCTCACTAGCCTAAGCGCTACCGCCGGTGATTCCGCCACCCCGGGTTGCGTGTTCATCACGAGGGCTGAACATGGAGGGGGGGGTGACTTCTTTCTGTATTAGGAAAAAGCTTTTTGGGCTTCGTGGCTGCTTGATGTGGCCCCTGCCCAGGATGTAACTGAACACCGTTAGGCGGAGACTTTTATCCATATTTAGGGGGCGCCGTTATTACCAGAGATCCGGGCAGTCACAAATTGAGGTGAGTTCGAGTTGCCCGTTTCGGTCAGTCCTGGTGGAAACTTGAAGCACTAGAGCAAATAATTGTGGCCCAATTAATCTGTTTACTTTTCGACGTCGTGGACGTGGGAGGATGATAAATATATACAGCCCACAGAGCAGTATATATAATTCTGGTTCGTTCCTACTATCTCCCTTTTCCTGCCACTATCCTTTGACCTAAATTCACGGCCTATATCCGGCATGCAAAATCCTGTGTTATCTCCAGGCAGGTCGCGCAGCGTTTAAATTTTTTTTGTCTCAAGTCACCAACTGCTTGCGAGTTAAATGGCTGTGAATACGGGAAACCCGAGGGCATCACTTGCCCACTACACTATTGTCCGTCCGACTAGTTTGTACACCAAGGGCTATGCAGGTTTCCAATCGCTGACACACTACAGACTCTCTTGATCGCATGTTCTATGTCCAGCACAGAGTAGGCGCACAAGCGAATGTCCTAGTCTCGGCGCACTACGCCCCTACCACGTCCACCTGCCATGACCACTTGTCGAAAGAGGCCGTCTACTCGGCCATCCGATCAATTATCACAGTTTACCCAGAACTCAGCCTCATTGGGGTTCCTGAACTGTTAACAGAAACGGGGCACCATGCCCTCCTTCTCGCAGCACTACACGAGATTGATCTTGGAACATGTGTCGAGTTCCTAGATGATGAGGCGCCCGTGGCCAGGCCAGAAGTCATCGAGCGTCTCCACAACCACTGGGACTGGACCGATGAGCAATTCAATCCTCGAAAGCCGTGGTGGAGGGTGGTTATCCTTGGCAGGCGGGAGGTGGTTTTCATCTTTCACCACCTCATCTGCGATGGTCGCTTCGGTTACATTTTCCACCGCCAATTTCTCACCGCAATCAATTCATTCAACGAACAAAACAAGCCCTGTTCACGCATCATCAAGATAGACCCTGAGCGGGTTAAATTGAGCAGAGAGATGGAGGAATTTTGGAATGGCAGCACATCCGTGTTGCGGTTAATTCACATCTCCTTTATGTTTCTTCTCCTTCGACTCTTCTTTGGAAGGAGACTTCTCTTTACCGGCCTGCCCAAGCCGAAATCACACGCAAAGTCCGCCATAGCCGACGCCGGCCCTGAGCACCGCACTAAGACGCGTATCGCCACCCTCCGCATCACCGCCTCCAGGATGCGCCGTATTCTTGCCGTCTGTCGTGAACACAATACGACCTTTACGCCCCTCATTATCGTCATCACTCTGTGCACTCTTGCCTGCGATTATTATCCTAAAGCTAAGATAGGCATCTCAAATTGTGCCCTCGACATGCGGTCGCTCTATCCTTGTGGGATGGAGTCTATAACATCTGGCAAGTTCCTTCAACACAGTAGCGGTACCAGCAAGTTCACCTGGTTGGACAGGTATCGTCGCGTCTTTCACCCAAGGCCGAGCGATAAGGCACATAGCAAGGCAGGCGGCAAGATAACCAATGTGGATGTTGACGGGGCCTGGGAGTTGGTCCGAGAATACCGTGTTTCCATAAATAAGGCGTTTGAGGGGAACCAACCACCGTTAGTCGTACCGTTCCGTGCTGCCAATGCAGTCTCAGATGATCTAGATGGCATGTTGAGCTCTAACTTCCCGGCTTTGGGTCTTCATCTGAATAATTCCATCCAGGTCTCAAACCTTGGTGCCTTCTCAACCGGGGACCAGGGCGGGCGCTGGAAGATTGAAGATATAAGTTTCTCAGCTTCTGCTGTCAATGGTAACATTAGCTATAACATTGCGTTTAATGTGGCCGGCGTGGAGGGGGGCGATACGGTTATTTGTGCGTCTTATGAGGACGGAATCCTAGAAAAAGAAATGGTATCTGGGATTTTAGAGGCGGCCTTAGAAAAGATAGAAGCTATCATATAGATCTTCCTTTACTGTAGAACCTCTAGCTGGAAAACGAAATTAGGTATTATTTATACATTTCAGTGTAACATACATGCATAGCGACCTGGACAGCATGGCGATCTGGACACCAAAGCCTGACTATGCTACTGCCTACTTTCAATGATGTTTTTCTCTATTACATATTATAGTATCAACAAGTAAAGAGGGTTAATTAAACCTCACTATTCAAGCTATTAAATAATACTCAACTTTTAGTATCCAAGCTACAGTAACGATCTGCACGGTTCTGTTACAATATATAACAAGACCAACCGGTCTGGTATAATTTAATATATAGATTTAGTTGTATTATAATTAACCAGATAAAGTAAGTTTCATATACAACTAAATATTAATATAAAAAGTAAGCTTTTAGTAGTTACTGCTATATTAAACTGCTAGCTTAAGAATAAGCTATATTAAAAAGATACTTTATTATAGAGTATATATTGTATATAACACCTGTATCTATCTTATACAGACGGTATAGAGTGGGCAGGGATTGTAGGGTTCAGTTCCTAGTAGGGATCAGGACGTCGGGTATAAGCAAGGGGTGGCTACTGTCTGGTAACAGTTAGCAGTACAGGGGCATCGTATGGGTCACGTCTGGTAATGGTTAGCAGGTGCAGTGAGCTAGGTAATCAAGTTGTATTGATAGCTGAGGAGCCGTGCTACTGAATAAGATGCTGTGAAGCTGCATTTATATACTAGGGTGATCTGAGCTTGATCGTTGACGATCCTGGGAGAGGCACGCTCCTTCCTTGATTGGACGAAAAATAATGGGGCATGTACGTCACGCCTGCTGACCTGCACGTAACCGCACGTTTGGTCCCATGCCGTGACATTATATACATTATGTTGGATTAACCAGCTGAGTTATTTTAACCAAAAGTTAAGAGTACCCCAAGCATTACTATAGCCAGTGTTATTCAGTGATATAATAACACATTCATAAAGAAGATCATTTTTAGATGCTTAGTCAGTGGGCGCGCTAAGACGCCAATGTATCAGTCGCTGGAACAGTTTAGAGGATTAGTCAGCGACATGCGTTGCGACATTTTACCGATCCTATTTTCTTCTCGGCGAGCTCTTGCCTTTGCTGCGGTTTCCGAGTTTAACTTGGCTCACTCGACGGGTATAACTCAACCGGCAGTGTCATGCTCAGCTTCCGTCCTTCGCCTGATCTTTCATGTCATCAGGCTCATTTGGGACATCAGGCTTTGGACTCCAGGATTGATGACTTAACGGCAACGGCCATCCCCAGCTGCTTATTCAAGTCGCAGTCTAGGAAGTCGACATGACCAAATACGCATTTGTCGTCTCCAATGGCGTGCCGGTACCAGCCAACAAGGCCGTCCGGAGTCATGCTATAAAGACGGCCCTGCAGTTGCGTTCGAAAACGGTCGTTGGAGGAGAGTCGCCGGATGGCGCAGCCAATTCAGAACGGACATCACAATGCAAAAATGAGCTAATAGGTCGGTTCAAGCTGAGACCAGCTTCCATGAAGAGTCACAGTGGCAGACGAAAGGAAAAGCCGCAGACGAAGATGCGGCACGCAACTTTTCATGGTACTGAAGAAGCGGCGGACGACAGTCGAATCGTGCCTGTACCAGTAAACGTCAACCAGAACCATTTTAGGAGCAACAACTCATTAGGAGTTGAATGGTTCGGCGGTAATATTCTCGACCCTTTTGGAACAATCCCGATACCATCGAATCCCAGAATCGACACACTCCTCAAGTATTGTATGTAATCTGCCTTTCCGCTACCCGTTGCTCCGGCTCACCGCCTCTAGTGATCATGTTCTTCGACTACCGGACTACAACAGTTCCCAGCAACAAGACATGGCTTAGTCTTGCGATGAACGACCCGATACTCATGCGCGTTACCCTCTGCACGACGGCAGCTTTCGGGGCTACACGAACATCATTGTTTAATATAGACCTGCGAAAGGAAGCATGGAAACTGAAGGGTGAAGCCATTCACGAGGTCAACTTTATCCTTCAAAATGGCCGAGTTACGGAGAATGTACTTGCTGCCATTGCGCATCTAGGACATACTGCAGTGAGTATTTGAACGCCTTTAGGCTTCGAAGCATCCCGGTGGTTCCGCATCAAATTGTTGACATGAGTGTTCCAGAGTTTAGAGGGTTCCTCCGAAGAAGCGGATATCCACTTGCGGGGGCTGCAAGGGCTAATTGCTCTCAGAGGAGGTATTACGTCTATTAAGAGATATCAGGTTGGCCGATTTATAAATTCGTAAGCACGAACGATTCATGAGTTAGATAACCGGAAAAGACGGGTGAATCTAATACTCTTCAGGGTGGACCTTGGATTAGCTACCGCTCGCGGGCGAAGACCTCTTTACCCTCTCAACTACGGCTTGGACAGAGTCAAACTTCCCCAAAATATCATAGAGGCCTGCGAGTATCTCGTTTACAAAGCCTCGGGCCAGGACACCAAACAGTTATGGCGGTCATCCAACTGCTTCGGCAACGAGTCATGGCCGCAAAATGCAACGTGGATCCAACGCTGCGGGACGTTCGCACTCTGTCGCTTTCCGCAGCCTTCCTTACCCTGGATCGCATTGAGGATATTCCGACTACCCTGGAAGAACAATGTCTCCACGCCTTACTTTTAGCCGCACATCTCTTTGTATGTGCCGCCTTGAAACAAGACCATCATTGGACGGAATCCCTCTCACGGACGATGGCACAACGCCTACAGGGGTCGCTCTTGGCTGGGCCAATGTATTCGGCGACTTGGGCGTATCATCTGCCTGAGTTGCTTTGGGTACTGTTCGTTGGCGCCGCGATAAAGGGAGAGGATCCACAAGACCAGGGAACATGGTTCGTCTCGCAACTAGAGGTTGTTCGGCAACTCGTTCGATGTAGCACGAGGATGGAGTTTGAGGGGTACCTGCACTTCATGGTATGGGATGACTGTTTTGGTGTTGAATTTTTGGATGATTGGTGGGCGGATGCTGACCCTCCGAGCACGATGCCCCTGCAGTCTGTCTGCCACAAGTAATGAGGATTAATAGCTCGGTCCCGTTTCTATAGAAACTGCTAATAACAACCCCAATGGATGAAATCAACCGCTTTATACATAAAAGACTAACTTCAGACTATTCTTAGATGGAGAAATCAAGAGCCTTTCTAAGTTCTATCTATTAGTTAGTGCAACATTATTATACCTAACTCAAGTATCCTGGAAATTGCTCTTGTATACCATCCATCTGAAGTCTATTGCTTATATGATGCTATTGCGGAAGCTAAATATATCCCTTCCACTTGTGCCCAAGTTAACGCGGCCTGATCCAGGGAGAAACACGCAAACACTACAAAAGTCCTCATAGAAGCAAACCTTACCAATTTCCTAAAACTAGACCGTCTACTTCGCTATCAACACATTTAGCCATTACAAGTTACGCTTGTCCCATTCAGGGGTTGTATTGTAGTCATCCCCCCACCACTGTTCCCGACTACGAGTCAATCCAGCAATGGCCGGCAGTAGTTCAGACGACAGCCCAAGGGAACCAGGTACGTAATAATACATTTGCATAGAGCGTCATTCCGTAAGCGACAGGAAATCTACCCCCGAGGACACATGGAGATTGATAGTAGGACGTATGCGCTTCACAACTTGCATACCAAGACGGTTGGCAGAGGGCACCTGGTAAGTCGAGCATCAACTAGCAAGATAACTTGCGGTGAAACCAATAGAAATACAGTGATCCTTTATTTGACCGGAGTGTTAATGACGAGCGTGATATTGACCTATTTGTGTATGAAGTTATCTGAAGTAACCTTTGAAGATGACTGAAGTGAGCAGAACATCAATCTGAGCTCCCGGAGCGTCGTTCTCTACGCTATGCCTTGTCGGACACCTTCACAACGACTTTCCCTTTCGCCCGGCCTGACTCCACCTTGTCCCATGCCTCAGCAAAGTCAACAAAGTCGACCACGCTATCAATGTTTGGCTTGAGCTTGCCAGCCTCTAACAGCCCCGTAATGACGTCCAAATCCTTGCCGAGAGAAGTGATGACGAACCACAAGCTATGGGCCTCCTTTTTAACATCCTGTGGGCGACTTTTCTCTGGCTCACCACAGACACTAACAAGGCTTCCTCCATCTCTCACTGCATACCAGGACTGAGCGAGCGATGAGCCGCCAATGCAGTCGAAGACCAGATCGACCTCTCGAGATGCGGGATCCTCAGCCGCCCAGTCACCGATGCTTTGCTTGGTATAGTCCATGGTCTCCGTGGCGCCGAGCTGTCGTACAAATTCGTTATTTTTCGGTCCAATAACGGCCACGATGGCGGCCACTCCGGCGACTCGGGCAAGCTGGACTGCCCAGCTACCAACCCCTCCCGCCCCGGCAGTGATCAGGACACGGAGCTTAGCATTTTTTGCCCGCGCGGCCACGTCGCCCGTTAGCGCCAAGGGGTCCAGGGTACCCTTTGTGAAGAGCGACTGGTACGCCGTGATAGCGCTGATGGGAGTGGCTGCCGTCTCCGCCCAGCTGAGGTTCTTGGGCCTGATGGCAAGCTCAGGCACCCGCGCCAGAACGTACTCGGCCGCGGCGCCCGGGCGGTCGGCCGAGATGCGCGCGTAGACCTCGTCGCCAGCCTTGAAGCCGCTGTCCGCCGGGGCGGAGATGACAGTGCCGGCGAGATCCTGC